ATAAACCCTTTGTAATAAAATCCTCATTAACCGATTCCACTAACTCAGGATCTCTGTCAGCTGTGATGTTGGCAACGCTAAAGTTGCTTTTATACTGTCCATGAAATAAGCGAATGAATAGAGGAACTTGTATGGACTTTGGCGGCCTCTCCGGCTAACTAGGTATAAGCCGCCCTGCACGTTTTGAGTGCAGACAGATGCTGCCGATGGCACGTGACTTTTCTTTTCATCAGAGATGCTCTGCAGACTCCGCTCCAAAGCCCGTGTAACGGTTTGTACAAGCCAGTAATGGCAAGAAAAACTCTGGCTGTGTTCAGCAGCTCCTTCCCTCAAACCACCAGGCACCCCCCAAACCCCCACCCTCGCCCAGCAGGGTGGGCAGGAAAGTGTTTGGAGCCTGGGGGAGGAGAGAGTCCCCCAGGCAGGGCTCAGTGGCTGGGGGATTCTTGAATAGTGGGGAACCAGCCTCCACTCCCCACAGTGCCCCAGGCAGGGAGGAGCCAAGCCTGGGTTCAAGACAGTGACACCACCCAAGTGGCAGTGAACGACCAGGTGGGCCTGGACAATGGCAATATCCATGGTGGCTGTAGGGACTGCAGACCACAGGGCTCTTCCTGAACTTCTGTTTCGTTTAAGCCATGGGTCTTTGGAGTTTACTGTTATTGGCAGCTCAACCTAATCCAAACAAATTCCCTACTTGCTAGGATGAATTGATCAGACCCAGAGGAATCTGACCTCTTAGCCGCATAAAAGCCATTACTCCCAAATCAGAGACTGTGGCCCATTTTAAACCCCAGTGATAGCCATGGATACTGTCCCAGAAAAATGTCTGGATATGAAAATGCTGCACTCGGATCTCAACACTCCACATACAGTTCCAGGAGTTCCCAGACCCCAAAGGTCCATGCCTGGCCCCCCGAGCTAGAAACCACTTGATAGAGCACTGGGAGCTTGGGGGGAAGGGGAATGGGAGGGGAGATGGGGTGGCAAGAGGTACTCAGGGGGTTCAAACCAGCAGCTGTTCAGTAAGAATGAAAGGATTTCAATATTTTGACAACTGGCATAACCACAGTGGGGTGTACCAGCTGACTCTCAGCCAATACCTAGGGTGGGAATTGGGCCTTAAAGGATGACCTGACATCCACAGGGCCCTGCGCACCAAGCAAGGCAAGACGCACATTTGATATTAAGGAAGAGTTTTCTGTCATCACCTCTTGTGTGCGAGTGCAAAGACTGCTCCATCCACACACAGCAATCAGGAAAACAGTCCTGCTGGCTAAAAATGCTTCTAGTTTTGCAGCAACACAAATACAAGGAACGGTCAGGAGAGTTCAAGGCATGTTTGCGAAAGGGAAGGAGGAGAGACACGCACATGTATGGAGTGAGCGCCTGCCGTCTAACATGAGGTGACCCAGGCTTTACTTCTGGGTCTAAGACCACGGGGGCCTGAGGTCTTCCCGGGCAGGTGTGTGGTGGGGGGAGAGGAGGCAGAGGGTGCTGGGCCCTGAAGAGGGAGGAGAGGAAGGGAAGAGAGGCTGGGCCACAGGCCAGGCCTGCGGTATGGCCATCAGCCAACTGGCCCAGTGGCGGATGGAGGCCATAACCAGCCCAACTGCTGACCAGGAGGAGAAAGTCCGCAGCTGCAGCTTAGTGGTGGGCGCTTTGCCCCCAGGCCCACCAGAGCCATTTACTCCCAGAACCACAGGCGGGGCCACCCTCAGCACGCTGAGGGCTGAAGTAGTCCCAAGTGGAAGCAGCAAAAACTTGACCACAAAACCCCTTTCCAGAAGCAAATGCAAATCAGATGCCCCTACGCTCCAGCCTCCTGTCCTCTGCCACCTCTAAGTACCACACACAGCGCTGTGGGGAGGGCGTGCGGCAGCTGGTCTCACTGACAGATGCGCTTAGGGGACCAAGTCTGTGCCCGCTGTGTTTCTGGGTCTGACCTGTTTCACTTAAGATGACGGCCTCCAGGTCCTCTCATGTCACTGGCATGGGTAATTTTGGTAGCTACGGCCAAGGCTAGTTCCATGGAGATTCTGGCGCTTTACGCTCCCCATAGGCGAGCATACCTGTCACTCTCGCTTGCTGCGCGTCCCAAGGCAAGAACTGCTGGGAGCGGACAGATGTTAGGAAGAAGAAGGCAACAGAAAGGGAGATGGTGAGAAGGTGGAGGAAGAAAGGGCTGGTGAATTTCTAAAAAGGGGAAAGAGCTCCTGGCCTGCTGGGAACGAACCAGGCCCCATTCACCGACCCCTCGACCCTTGAGTGTCACCCACCCACCCACGGCGCTGGCAGGCTGAAGGTGTGGACGGGGGCGAGAGATGCTCGCTGGGTAACAACCAGCCCTCTCTGGGCACCTGGCCCAGGCCAGGCACTGCACTGGGCACTCTGTGCACGTCATCTCTCAGTTAATCCTCAACACAGCCCTTGGACGGGCTGCAGGCAACTCATTTGCATGGAGCACTGGGGTCCAGCCCTGGCCTTGGGACACGCAGCAAGTGGCAGTGACAGGCATGTGCTTACCCCCAGGGAGAGTAAAGTGCCAGAATCTCCATGGAACTCACTTTGGCCAAAGCTACCAAAACTGTGCACGTCAGCAACGCAGATGGAGCTGGAGGCCATTATCTTAAGTGAGACAAGTCAGACACAGACAGAAAAATACCGCATGTCCTCACTTATAAGTGGGAATTAATAAGGTGTGCGCGGGGACATCGAGTGTGGAATGGTGGACAGTGAAGACTCGGGAGGGGGAGGGGGGAATAGGAGGCGTGATGAGAAATCACTCAATGGGTACAATGTACGTTATTGGGGTGATGGGTACCCTAAAAACCCTGCCTGCAGCACTATGCGATCTACGCGTGTGACGAAATCACACTTGTACCCCACACATTTATACAAAAAAAAATATATAGAAATGCCCCTGTCCTTAGACTCAACGATTCAGCTACTGAGAACTTATCTTGCAGAAATACTCACATGGGGACATAAAAGTACCTACTGCAGCATTATGTATTATAGCAAAAGATTGGAAGTAACTGAAAAGTCTGTCCCCAGGGGATGGGTTACATTAAAGCACGTCCATGGAATGGACTATCACGCAGCCATTAAAAGGAGTGTGGCAGCTCACAAAGAGGCAGGTGCGATACACTTCGTTCAAGCACACAAGAGCGGACGTCCCGTGCCACCCGTTTGCGTTAAGCGTGTGTTACGTGTACACCCACACGCTCACAGGCAGGCTTGCAGCTCGGGAAATAACGGGGTGGCCCTGGTCGCTTCCAGGGAGAGGGACCTGGGGAACAGGGGGGCAGGAGAAAAACCTAATCTTTTCTGTACATCCTTTCCTATCTTTGAATTTTAGACCAGATACATTTATTCATGAAAAAATATAATCTTATAAATGAAGATAAAGAAAAGGATCGGTAAATAATAGAACAGCAATTCATGAAAATGGCAACATCTCAAAGGGGGATGTGCACATGAGTGAAGTTTGGGAAACTCTGCCACTCTAGCACGTGACTTTTTGTCCCTAGCCACAAAAGCCACATGAAAACCCTGTGGTTGTGGCTTGTGACCTGTGACACACCAGCATCATGACGTTACCCGCTCCTACTCCTGCACCGTTTGCTTCGGTACCAGGGTCCTGTTGGACGATGAAATATGAGTCACAAAGGCCAGCACGGGACCATGTTCCAGTACAGGACCGAGACCTGATGTGCCAGGCATCGGGCCAAACACGTTACGTACGTTCTTGCATTCACTCATTTTCACGGTAACTGTAGGAGGCGAGGTATCACTCTTATCCCTATTTTACGGGCGAAGAAATAAACCCAGAGAGGTTAAGTGACTTGCCAGAGGTCAGAAGCCTGTGCAGAGTTTGGACTCCAACTCAGACTTCCCGCGCCAGGGCTGAGCCCCTGCACGGTGCCGATCACCTTGCATGTGGAAGGTGCTGGATAAAGCCTTGTAACTAAGCCCTGGTCCTTGCTCTCAGATTTCTGTGCTCAGACGACGAATGCCTCAAGGGCAGTACTGGCTTCCTCTTCATTGGGTCTCAACGGCCCCCGGAACATAGTGGCCTAGTCCACAGTAGGAAGTCAGAACATGTGTATTGATGGAGTTTAATCAACAGACATAAGCAATGATGCTTCCCCTGGAAGCCCCAGAATTCACAGAATGGGGGTGCCTGGCCCTTCTACAGGAAAGTGCCTTGGTGGCTCCCAAGCACATCCTCTCACCCAACCTGGCACGGCCAGGGTGGAGCTCAGAAGGTCCCCAGACACCACTGAGCATAGGTGGGGTGGGAAGACTGACAAGGGTGTCCCCTAGACCCGCCTGGGGTCCTGCAGGTTACATGGCAGAACTTGCACACGGCTCAGCAGGAGAGGTCAGGTTAAAAAGCCACTGAGCCAGGGGTCTAGAAGCAGTGGATGGCAGGCCTGCAGTGTTCCCAGGAACGCAAATCCCTGGCCCTCATGGTCACGAGCTGGAGGCCGGAAGCAGAAAAGAAAGAGCTGTGGTCCCCTAAGATGTCAGCGCTGGAGGAGGACCTGGGGGAAGAAGTAGCCCTCTAGCTCCTCTCCCATTTTACAGATCAGGCAACTGAGGCCAGAGAGATGACAGAGAGTGGATGGCATGTCTGAGGCTGCGTTCCTGTCTCCTGACACCCTGGGATGCTCCTTTTATCCCTGGGGTGAGGAGGCCATCATGGTTGTGTTCTAGGAGGACTCAACACCCCTAACGTGGTGTCTTTCTGAAAGGAGCAGGTGCTGGTGGAGGGCTCTGGCTCCCTTTCCCTTCAACAGCCAGAGCGGCGCCTCCCCCGGAGGTTCTGTTGGGAAAGATGGTCCCTCTACTGTAACCGAGACGAGTCGGAGCTCACTGCGCCTCCCTCCTTCCCCCAGTTCCCACTCAACTCTCTGCCACCCCCCACCGGCGTGGCGTCAATCTGGGCTGAGTCCTACCCAGTCCAGGCCTCTGCGGGATCCCCGGGGACTCACCTGGCACGTCCGGGGATGGGTTGAGAATCATGAAGGCGTCTGACAGGCCTGCTTTGACAGGGTGCTGGGAGGAGCTGATCTCCAGGACAGACATAGGGATCTGCAGTGGGGAGAAGACGGTTGGAAGCCCCACGTCCGCTCTGAGCTCCAGACCCGCGTCACCTCTTGGAGGATTCGAAGACATCTCAAACCCAGTGGGCCCTCGTCCCAATTCCAGGCTCCCCCGCACCACCTCCTGGCACATGTTCTCCTTTTCCCCGGCTCAGTGACTTCTTCCATTTCTTCCCTTCCCCATCTAATGCATCTCCAAAGCCTGTTAATTAACCTGCTAAGTGGCTCTCAAAGCTGGCCAGCTCTTTCTATCTCCCCCATCCCACTCCAAGCTGCCATCGCTCGTCTCCTAAGTCATCTCCCAGCATTCCCTTTGAGCCCCCAACAATCTGTTCCCCATTCTGAAGCCACAGTGACCTTTCTCAAAGGAAAATCTGTTGTTCCCCTGCCCTGTCCTGCCCCTCACTCTCTCCCTGCAGCCATGCTGCTTCTTTCAGTGCTTTGTACCACCCATGCTCTGCTACCACAGGACCTTTACATGTGATGTTCTCGCTCCCGGAACACACTTTACTCCCCTCTTTGCTTCCTTAACTCCTATTCGTCCTGAAGATTTCAACTCCTTTCCTCAGGGAAGCCTCCCCTGGCTTCTACCAACGTGAGGAAGCTTGTGCATGGCTCTGTTAACACCAGGCACCTCTACTTAGGAACGCTTGTCACAGTGGCAATTCTACATTTATCCGTGTAATTACTGTCTATTTTCTCAATCAGACTTACAGCTCCACAAGGGTAGGGCCCACAGTCATCTTAGTAACTGCTGTATCCCCAGTGCCAAGCCCTGTGCCTGGCACATTGCAAGTTGTCTACAAATATCTGTTGAATGAAAGAAAGGCTCCAAGACCCAGCTCTCCTGTGGCTGGGCCCGCTCACCTCTTTGTAGCCGAAGACAATGCGGCCATCACGGTGCAGAGCTGCCTGGAAGGTGAAGCTGCCCCTGTCCTCCCGGCCTTGGAGGTAGACATGGTCCCACTGAACAACAAAGACTGTCCCTGGGGAGACGAGCAGAGGCCTGGCTGGATGAGGAGGTAGCGCAAGGAGCAGGGCCCTGCAGAAACGGCTTGGGCACAGGTGGGGTCGCTTTGGGATGATGGGGGCAGTTTGCAGATTTGAGGAGGCAGGAGCTGGGCAGCCCACAAACTCCAGCCTGGCTTCCACGCTGGACAGGATCCGAGAGGTCCCGCCTCAGCCCCCAGACACTGTACTCGATCACCTCTTACCCCTACGCATGCCCCTTCCTTCTTGCCCATCCTGAACCCTTGAGATAAAAAGGAGGAGAAACAGGAGAGACGTTTGTTCTCCTGGGGTGGTGCTCACAGGACAACCTGGTACGGATGAAAAATAATAAAGGTCCCAACACTTATTTTACCTCTACTAAGAGCCAAGCACTTTTCATCTTGTGACCTCATTGGATCCTGTGGGGCAGTGGGCATTCTGTGCCCATCTTACAGGTGAGGAAACTGAGCACAGAACGGTGTGGCTGCCTGGCTCTGGGGCTGCGGGACGCTCGCCCTCTCTGGGTCTTGGGCTTCTCTAAAGGGGCTGGACCGAGGCATCCCTGGAGCCAGGCGACCTAAATTCTGAGATCTGGTCTCACCGTTGTCGAAGTAAGCAACCGTGGAATTGTCGGAGTAGCCAGGGTTGAAGTTGGCCATGAGGGGGGCCACGTACTGTGTAGCCGTGAGCATCCGATGGATCACGTCACCCATGAAGATGAAGCCTAGGGTGGGGAGAGGCGCAGAGGAGTCACCAGCGATGGCCCAGAGAGGGGCTGCTTCTGGGGTCTTTTCCCCAAGGGCCATAAGGGGCAGAGCTGGAAGTGACAGGGGGACCTCTGTCCCCTGTCCCTGCCTGGTGGGCTCTGGGTCTGGTGTGTACGGAGCCAAAGGGCCCCAAACCAGAAAAGACTCTCCCTGTCCCTCCAGGTGGGCATAAACTGTAGGGCAAAGGGACAGGAAGAGGAAGTGACATTCAGCTTTCCCGTCCCTGGGGAAGTGGGACAGAGAACTAAAGTGCACAGGAATTAAAGATGGGCTCCTCGTGTCAACACAGAGCCTGGTCCCAGGAGCCCAGGCTCTCACTGGCGTCTCCATCTCCCTCTCGTTCAGGGACTCAGAAACACAGGGACACAGGACTCACGCTGGCCCGGAGGGAGACACACACAAACGAGCAGGTGAGCTGATGTAAGGGGGGGTGGTCTGACAGTCACTGACCTCCCTTCTGAGAACCGGGTTCCCAACAGGCAAACGTGGGTCCCCCAGTCCATCTGTACAACCCTGTCTCCAACGAGCCTCCCCAGGGAGGCCCCTTGAGTTCAGGCTGAGATCTCCAAACCCTCCCCCAGGACCCACTGACAAGGCCTTACCTCCAGTTGCTATGGTGATCTGTCGCAGCGGATGCCCGTAGAAAGGGAAATCGAAGGACAAGACCACTCTCTGCAGGGGATGGGAGAAAGTCAGCACGGGCCAAGCTGCAGGCCGGGGGCCTGGGCACCCACCCTGCCCCGTGCTTGTCTGCACCCAGTGGAGACAGCATGTCCAGGGCAGGCCTCTAGGACCACAGGTGGCCACCCCTGCTCTGGCTGAGCCCCACGGGAACCCCTGGAAGGCACCTCCCAGATCGCAGACCTCAGGCCACAGCCACGCCAACTGACCAGGCCAGGTGGGCTGGCCCTCGGCCTCCCAGCCCAGGGGACGCACTGCGGGGACCTGGGCACTCACCGAAGCCTGCCGGTGGGTGTTGGAGAGTATTCTGTGGACCTTCACTTGGCTCCGGTTGGCCTCAGCCACGTCCACCCACAGTTCCCGGCTGCGGGGTTCTCCGGGGCCGTACAGACGGGACACATAGTAGCTGTGGTTGTCCTCCTGCCGGCACCCAAGACAAAGCCCACGGGAGGCATGAGTAGTCACGCGTGCCAGGAGCCACTCTCTGCCCCGCCCCGCTCCACTCAGACAAGAAGTCACCGCCCTCCCTGGGTGCTGGACCTGTGGCCCAGAGACAAGTTTAGGCTTAGGAGAGCCTGGGCTCCCCTGGGCCCCAGACAGCTCACCAGCTGGCCCCTAGCCATGCCCAGCAGGTCTGGCCCAGCCAAACCCACACCTGCTGTGTCCTTGCTCAGTCCAGCCATGTCCAGACAAGCCAGGAGGCTCATCCTACAGTTCGAGTCCCTTCAGAGCACGACCAAGGCCGAGCTCAGTTTGGGGCACAAGGGAGGAACAGACAAGACAGCCCCAGACAGAGCGCCTGTCTCCAGGAAGCTCCCAGACCAAGGGGGAGACAGAGTCCCTGTCCTTGAGAAGTACCCTGTTTAAGGGAAAAGAAAAAACTGGATCTTAGAAGGCACGAGTCTAAAGGAGGAGGCTGATCCTTGATCTTGGAGATTTGCTGGTCTGATGAAGGAGGCTGGACTTACGTGAGCAGAATATGTGGACACACACCTTCAAGCAAAGATGACACGAGCCCAGACTGCGGTCACCAGAGGGTTGAGAAAAGGGAGAGCAGTAGCAAAGCTTCCTTCAGGGCATAGTTTTGAACCTCTACTGTGTGCCCAGTGGGAATAAAATAAAGAACAAGCCAGAGCACTGTGGCTAGGGGTTCATTCTGCAAAACCTCTCTTGCAGAGGAACATTTGGGGCCAGGATTTAAAGGAGCCGAGGGAAATGGTTGGCAGAAAGACTGGAAGAGCCAGGAATGGGCGATGTCGGAGCATTTCCTGGAACCCGCCCAAAAGCGCCAGCCGCAGGAGGACAGGAGGCTGGTGGGCAGGTTCCCTTGGCAGTGACCACCGCAGAGTTGGGACTACTGACCCGTGAGGAGCCCTGGGTATCGTGGGTCACTAATGAGGCTGCCCAGCAGCGGTGGCTGCAGACACAGCAGAACAAACGATGTTGTCCCTGCCAAGCTGCCAGCTGCCCCGCCAGCCCTTGCCCTGGGCCCAGCATGAGCAGCGACGAGGGTTCCTGCACTCCTCACTCTGCTCTTCTAACAGGGACACGCTCTGGGAACCTGGGTCTGGGCAGGCCGTGGGAAGATGAGTGGAAGAAGCGTGGCAGTGGCGGGCGTTCCCACTGCCGCCACCTCCAAACTGCCCGTGCCTCCAGCCGTCCTTGGCACGGCAGTGACACCAACCTAAAACACAGGCAAGGCCACATCACTCGCTCACAAGCTTCCTGGGGCTCCCTCGAGACACTGTCCTGGAGACAAGGATCCTCGGAAGCCACCGGAAGCTAGGACGAGGCAAGGAAGGATTCTTTCCTGGGGTCTTCAGAGGAGTGTGGCCCTGCTGACACCTTGACTTCTAGCCTCCAGAACTGTGAGAGAATATATTTCTGTTGTTTTAAGCCCCCCAAACCTGTAGTAATTTGTTATGGCAGCTCTAGGAAACTAACACACATGCCCACAGGTGTGTGTTGCTGTGGCTCAGTTGGGACAACCTGCAGTTGTTTTCCCCTCTCCACGTCACTCCCCTCCTTTAGAACATTCTGTGGCTCCCCAGCTGCACTTAGAACAAAGGCCACACCCCTTACCACAACCTACAAGTCCCTGTGTGGTAGACTCTGGGCACAGCCTCTCCAATATCCATTCCCTTGCAAGCAGCAATGTAGCCATCTAAACCCAACTTCATTCTCTGGATGTCTTAAGGGTTGCCACGTAACACAGGCTGATTCATGAGATTAGCTGAAGGTCCTAGGGTCCCTCTTATCTTTGCCCTTCTCTTTCTTCCTGGCTGGAATGCACACATGATTGCTGGAGCTCCAACCGCCATCTTGTGAGTAAAAGGACAAGAGCCACACCCTGAGGATGGTGGAGTAGAGAACTGGATGGAGCCTCAGCCCCCTGAAGACGTTGCTGGAGGCATGGGCCTTAAATTCCTGGGTTCAGCTCTCTGTTAATCACTTACACACAAATCCTTCACAAACGCACAGTGATGTGGCCCCACCCAGCACTTCCTCCTCTCCCCTTGCTCTCCACGCACCAGTCCTGCTGGGCTTCTCTCAGTTCTGGAAATCACCAGCTACTTGTCTGCCTCAGGGCCTTGGTGCCTCTTGTGACTCAAAACCTCTTCCCCACCCTGTTCAGAAGCGACTCTTCCTCGTCCACCAGGCCTCATCGCAGGGGTCACTTGCCCAAGAGTGCCTCCCTATGCCGCCACGGTCTCATCGCGCCCCGTGCTTCACTCTCTTAACGTTTTGTGCTTGTAACGATGCACTTGGCTTTTATACTTGTTATCTTCATGTCTGCCTTTCCTGTAAGCCCGTAGGTTCCCCAAGGGTAAGGTCAGCCTTTACCTACAGTGTTTAAGCACCGAGTATGTATTCAGTTGGAGGATTTGTTGAACAAAGTATCATTTGTGAAAGCCTGCCCCTCATGTTTTGCCCGTTTTCTTGGTGCCACCACACATTCTGGTGACCAGGATAGGATCGTTCCAGCAAACCAAGCGGGATAGCAGTGGAGGGTAAACAGGTGCTCTCGGGTACTTCTGGGAGTCAACTGAATCCAGCTCCTGCCTAGGACCCGGAGCTGGCCGTGTCTAAGACGTGCTTTGAGGCTCGGAGAAAGGTCTTGTTTCAGTCAGTCTGCTTCCTGCGAGAGCTCTCCCCGAGGCTCCAAGTGTCGGAAATGAAGGCGCAGGACTTTGATTACCCGGGGACAGTGAAGCCAGGAGCTGTATCTACTCAGAGCACTGGTCGAGGGGGGCCACAGGGTGATGGGTAAGGCCACACTGCAGCTTGGGGGCGGGGGTGACTTGAAGCAGGTCACTGCTGGGCAGAGCCAAGGACAAAGTCCACAGGGGAGTGACTGGGAGGGCGGGAGGGAGGAGAAGGGAGGCTGGCATTCACAGAGCCGTGACGACAGTGTGCCGGGCGTTCCATATTTATCACTGCGCGGCAACGCTGGGAGGAAGGAGAGTGCTAATATCAGTCCTGTGTTCTTTTTTTTTGAGACAAGGTCTCCCTCTGTCACCTGGGCTGGAGTGCAGCAGCGTGATCATAGCTCTCTGCAACCTCGAACTCACAGGCTCCAGCAATCCTCCAGCCTCAGCCTCCCGAATAGCTGAGATTACAGGAACAGGACACCACACCCAGCCACTTTTTTAATTTGTTGTAGAGACAGAGTCTCACTATTGCCCAGGCTGGTCTCAAGTGAACTCCTGGCCTCGGCCTCCCAAAGTGCTAGGATCACATGTGTGAGCCACCGCGCCCAGCCATCAGTCTCATTTGCTAAGTGAGGCCCCAGATCACATAGCTATCTGAAACCAGGTCAGTCCCACTCAAAGACAGTGACCTTTCACCAACAGCAAGAGAAGGAGAGCGCACATCTCCCCAGCCACTGAACGAACGTGTGTACCTCAGGATGACTGGGCCAACCTGGGCCACGTGCCACCTCTGAACTAACACCCGTAGCCGGGACAGCACCAGATGCTGAACAGCTTTGATGTAAACCAAACACGGGCTGCGGGGTGGGGTTACCGTGGAGCCCCAAATCCCATTCCTATAGTACAAGGCCGTGAGGTCAGTTACACGTCGAAAGTCAACCACAGTGTCCCCTCACCCTCCGAACCCTGCCAGCGAACCAGCACTCTCAGAAAACAAGAACCAGGCTGGTCCGAGTGCAGTGGCGTTTACGACTAATTGATCACAACCAGTTACAGATTCATTTGTTCCTTCTCCACTCCCACTGCTTCACTAGACCAGCCTTAAAAAACAAAAACATAAACAAAAACAAAAACAAAATCAAACAAAAAAAAACAAGAAACATGCCTTTTACTTTCCGGAAGCAAAGCTTAGTAAGGACCTGTCTGCCCAGTGTCTTGCAATCTGTCCGCGTGCCCAGGGAGGCACAAGGATTCTGCCAGCAGGTCAGGCCTTGTGGAATGAACAAGAGCCTTCGGCCGGGGTGGAGGCCTCCTTGGCCCGTATCCTTTGTCTCCATCCAGTTCTTTATGGAACCAGAGCTTATCCAACTTCCTCAGAGATGAGCACCAGTGATGCCATTAAAGCTGTCCCTATGCACCCAGGGCTTTCTGGAACCAGTCCTCTTAGTCTAGAATTTCTGATGCTCCTGGAACATCAGCATTGCATGGAGCCCTGCTAACTCAAATTGCAGGTGTGACATCGTATTTTTAATGATGTCCTAGTACCAGACATGTTTTAGGATGCCTAGCCCCCACCCCAAAGCCATCTGACCCCCTACACGCATACAGACCCCGCTGAGCAACCACACCCGCCATATTCTCCCACAGGACCCTGGGCTTCCCCAGCCAGATGGATTGTACATAGGTGGTCACATGATTCAAAAGCAGTCTGTCTATTGGAAGCCTACAACCTACGGCTTGTGCAGCCTGAGCCAATCAGATCCCTCTCCAGGGAGGGTGAAATTGGGAAACTGAGACGTTGGTGGCAGCAGAGCTGAGTTGAAAGGTCACGGAGGCTCAGGAGTGGAAACCAGCGCCATCTGGAGCTGTCTGCAGAAGACGCTGGTCCACAGAGAGGAGAAGGAAGACCTCATACGCATCTGGCTTCAATAAATACATGACGAATTAACGAAATGGAGACAAAAGCTGAGGGGGGAGCTGGAGAGACAGAGAGAGCCGCCCTGGCTCCTGACGGCTTTCCGGTTTCCCTGAGGTCTGGCTCTGTGTCCCTCTGTGTCCAGCTTCAAGTTCCATGACAGTTCTCCGCACCCCCACTATGACCCTCCTCTGTGAGACAGCTCAAATGGCTCCTCGGGACCAAAAGAACATGAAATAAAACAGTCTTGCTTATGGGGTGATCAGAGGAAGAACTTCCAGGGAGAGCCCAGGCAGTCCTTCATCAGTACAGATAGCAAGAATCTGAATGAGAAGAGAGAAGCGAGAAACCAA